TCATTCTGTTACATAGTTATGTTCATTTTGCAACTTCTTGTCATTCTGCTACATAGTTATGTTCATTTTGCAACTTCTTGTCATTCTGCTACATAGTTATGTTCATTTTGCAACTTCTCGTCATTCTGCTACAGTTATTTTCATTTTGCAACTTCTCATCATTCTGCTACACAGTTATGTTCATTTTCCAGCTTCTTGTCATTCTGCTACATAGTTATGTTCATTTTGCAACTTCTCGTCATTCTGCTACACAGTTTTAAGTCCTTTTTTTCATTTCAATCTATTTTGGTGTAATGTGTAACAAACTACTGTTGTTCTAACCCTGTGCAACTGTGGTATTCTAAGATATGATAGGCCAAAATATAAGGAAATCAAGCACCACAATGACAAGAGATTCTCAAAATTGTAGTTCTAATTAAAAATGGCTCAAATATATAAACTAAAAAAATTGAACAAAAAAGCCTTTTATAAAAAAAATAACAAAATTTTAATAACGAATAAAGCCTGTGCTATAAAGTCTGTACAAAATGTTATATTAGATAGACTTTTTTTAACTCTCAAATTGGCTATCTGTGGTGGCTGCAGACTTTTTTAACTCTCAAATTGGCTATCTGTGGTGGCTACAGTACATGGCTAAAGTTCAGAGGCAATTTCACTTGACTAGGACAAGATACATTCCGATTGAGCATTAGCTTTAATTGGAAATATGCTCTAATCCTAAGTTAGGAGGTCACGCCAATTACTTCAAGATGCTACTCATTACGTTAAAGTGGAAGGGAGACTTTCCTGACCGTCTATTTTTGCATTTGTCCAGCACAAGATACACCGTGAAAAAGTAAGTAATGATTAATCTTCTTTACTAGCCTCAAACAAAAGTAGATACATCTGCATTAGCTCTGATCATGAGTGACTACCTAAGAGCAGGCTTTAGCATAGTTCACAGCCGAGTGCATCCTGTTCTCTAAAGATATTTAACATGAAGTAGAAATTACATGCACAGAAATTTGAAAAATTTCCTGAAGAGACTTCTATTCATTTTCTATGATATAAAAATGGTTACAGACATATTTACATACTATACATAGAATTATACTAGCTTGCCTCAAAATTAAAGATTGTTAAGATCTCTCATGAGAGTGACAGTCTCAGAAATTATCTCGTGCCTTCTGAGATTAGCATTAAACTACTCTTAAACAATAACATTTTTGGTTATTTATTAACACTTGTTTATACGTTTTGGTAACTGGACTTGTATATGAAATATCTATGTACATCTTTTATCATCCAAATGTAGCCTTCTTGAAAATGAACATCTTAACCCTTTGACTGAGGAGACCCTTTAAACCCCTATTTGCACATCATGAGATTTTTACCAAGTTAAGTTCAAAATTTGTACAGGAGAGTCACCCTATAACAACAACAGAGCACCGCGGGGACACGTGGACGGTGATGGGATACTGAATAAAAGACAAAGAATTGGAAAGGAAAATTAAAAAGAAACTACAGTTGAAAAGATAAAGACGTGAAATTATGCATATGACAAAAAGAATTTTGAAATCTATTCTAAAAAAATTTAAAAGGTATCTACATACTTCCATTTCTTAATTTTAAACATTTCATTGCATTGTACATTGATGATGATATCTGGAGTTAATGTTATAATAGAGAAAAGGGAAAAAATATAAACATTTACCTTAAAAAACTTTTGATATTCATTTAGGAGGTTTTAGAGATTATACAAATGAAATGTGAAACTAAGAGATAAGAAATAATATTTTTATACTCAAAATGAAAATCACATTGCATGTGAACTATTGAGAGTTTGAGTGCAAAAACTACATTAAATAACAAATGTTTTATTATAAATAGTAGAAAAAAATCAAAATTAAATATTTTATTTTTCTAAAACTACATAATCTTAGGAACTTTCAAGTCAAATTTAAAACTATTTCATTAACTAGTTTCATTTTTATAAAGAACTTTCACAAGAGTCGCATACCTATTTACAATATAAGTTGATCGTAGTCAAAGAGACATCCCTCCCCCCAACTGACAGTTCCACAACTTGTTCTAATGAGAAAAGGTCCCTAATTTCATACCCCAAATATTCCACACAACTCTACAACATAATAGTAAAAAGTTAATTCAACCTTATACTTTCATTATAGAGTTAGTTGAGTTTCAAAAGAGTTAGTCCATGTTTATTGGAATGCTTAGCAAAAAAAAATTATTTATAATTATTGTATATATATATAATTTCACTAGAAGTGTGAATATAAAAGTACCATTTCCAATATATCAAATACTCTAACCTACCCTGCTGCAAATCCCAGCAAGAAAGATTCTAAGACAGTCTGGAACCAACAGAAAGTGTAAAAATTAAAACGAATTCCACCAACAAAGCAAGAAACTTGTAAACTTATAAAAAAATATTCAGTATAACTTAAAAGTTGTATACGTACAAACTTGGTCTTTAAAGCTATTAAAAGAGTTCCACTGAGTTATTACTATTCATACATTTAGTTGTAGATTACAAACTTGGTCTTTAAAGCTATTAAAAGAGTTCCACCGAGTTATTACTATTCATACATTTATTTGTAGATTACAAACTTGGTCTTTAAAGCTATTAAAAGAGTTCCACTGAGTTATTACTATTCATACATTTAGTTGTATACGTACAAACTTGGTCTTTAAAGCTATTAAAAGAGTTCCACTGAGTTATTACTATTCATACATTTAGTTGTAGATTACAAACTTGGTCTTTAAAGCTATTAAAAGAGTTCCACCGATTTACTATTATTCATACATTTAGTTGTAGATTCAACATTTCTGGTGTAGTGTTGATAATCATTTCCCACTCTTCTACTTACAAGTAACAGCCACTTACTCACCACCCATACAAGATCAACTTCTATGTTACCAAGAAATCACTAAGTACAAACTCTTTAATATTTTTACTAGAAAAATAAACTTATTTGTGTTAATTTCAAATTCGATCTTTCAGGAATAAGCTATACATTTTTTAGTTTGCAAAAGCTAGGCTAAATTTAGTAACTTTATATTTTGAAGCTCTGTTATTTTCATTGCTGTAATCATTAGTACTATACATATTATACTATTATCATCACTATAAGAACAAAGAGTGTGCTAAGGAGAGATTACAAAAGTAACTTACAGCTGACTACTGAAAATTAAATCATACATTATATTTGGCTGATAAAGGTAAGTAGCTTCATAATAATAACCTACTTCTTTTGTGCTATGTTGCTCAAATGGACTTGCTCTATTTTGGTAGGAATTTGATAAATTAAACCTTTAAAATTTAGCAAGTCATAATCAAGGGGTATATTTTTAAGAATATATCACGTATTATTGGAAACGGCATGAACATTAAAGTAAGTTATAAAACAAAGCTGTTAACTATAATATATTTTTTTAAAGAAGAAATATAACAGTCAAGATTCTAATTTAAAAACCTATGGAAAGAAATTTTTTTTTTAAATATATACTTGAAATAAACACACCTATTTCTTGTGAACTGTATATTAACATCTGACAAAAGATTTGACACTGGATTTTTTGAACACAGTAGCTATTCATAGGTACCTATACTCCAACTTTCCTGAGCTATATTTGTATGGCCATTGCATCTGCACATACTTAGCTTATATTTCCACAACTGCAGTGTTTTACTTCTGTTATATAATCGAGCATCATTAAACAATGATTTTACAATGCAAAAATAAAAATAAAAAATTGTTTGTGACGACTGACTTGATAATTGCGCGCATAACTGCAGATGATTTATAAGTGATGATGATGTTATTGTTAGTTGATTTATATTGATAACACACTATGTTTTGTTGGCATCTACACAATGTTTGACACATAAGTGGTATGTGTTACATTATTAGTGTTCATTATCATTATTTACTAATTTACTTAGGTGTGGTGGTGTATTTACTAGTTTACTTAGGTGTGGTGATGTAATTATTAGTTTACTTAGGTGTGGTGATGTATTTACTAGTTTACTTAGGTGTGGTGTTGTATTTACTAGTTTACTTAGGTGTGGTGTTG